TAAAAGTTTTCGTCATTCTCAGAGAGGCTTTGGCTCAGAGTCGAGAACCGCATATAAATGTACAGCTAGCTCCTCACAGTCGGGAAACTTCCCTAAGAAAAAATGCATCAATCCAGGCATATGCCTCGGTGCAAAGGTCTATTGGCATAAACTTAATGAGGGTCGATGGAAAGGAACCCGATACTAGGTGCAACCCCCTTCATGTGACACCAACAAATGAATCAGATCCAATACCTCAATTGACCCCCAACTTGGTGTTTTGGTTCTTTCTAAACTTGGAGTTGCCACCGCATCTTATTGTCATTATATAATTCTCTTTTTCGAATAACCTTCTTTCTTGGGCCATCAAAGTGATTCGTAGAAAGAAGAAAACTTTGAAATAGAGAAAATATGATGAATCTAGAGAAAAAAAAAATTAAAAGAATATAGAGAACTTTTATAAGGTAGTTTTCATTTGACAAATCAAGAGTGCATGCCCAAAATAAAATCGAGTCAAAGCCCCTTAAAAACATATCCACGAAGAGAATCCTATAAGTGAAAACTGTATAACTAGAGAACCACAATTATATATTTTTTTTTTCTGGGATCAAGAGCAACTCTAAAAGAAACGTGTCTCTTTGGTTAATTACATCTTTGGGCATACCGAAGGATACTCTCAAATAAATGAGCATTGTTTATATTTACCAACGATTTTGTCATCTCATATAAGATTATCCCAATTCTTTTAAAGCTATATCGAGCCATAGAGTTGATGGTGAATCACTGTATCCAATAGACCTATGAAATGACATCAACGATGTGTCAAAGAAATAGAGTGGAATTAAAATGGTATATCAATAAAAGATGTTAGGAAATCCAAAACTGGTAGAGATAGCAGAGTTGGAATTCCATTGATTTGTCAGCTCAAGCTATTAAGACTCTAATTCTACCTAGTAATGGAGGTAGTTATGCTACTCCGATCAGAGATCCCTTATTAGTAACTCATGTGTTGCGCCATCTAAGAAATCTTGGTAGCACTAAAGTTTAGAGAAAAAAAACATCTAATTTGCGATGTCCACGTTTCGATGCAATTGGTAGAAACAGAACTTATACCTATCAAGAAAATGGAAAGGAAACCCTTAGAATGAAAGGAAAATAGAGATTTTGATACAAAGCCGAACTATCCCATAAAGGACTTACACCCCCTCAGGGTCGGAGGATCCTATAATATCCTAGACGTTCTAGACAATCACTTAAGCATAGAAATTTATGCTCGACCAGTCAGGTTAGAGAAGTAAGGGTGCTCTTCCTCGGGACATGTAAATATGATGTTATTTTTAAAAAATTTTTATTAGGCCCAATTAGTATGACTTGGAAAATGTGCATGTATTTGGAGTCGTTTTAAATTCGGCCTTAAGGCTATGCAAGAAATGTAAGACAACATAAATTGTTGATTTAAAAATAATACAATTATAAACTTAAATTTTGATTAAACTCAATATTTTATTATTAATATTTTATATAAAAGGATTTATCCTAATGAGCCTAAGTGCTTACGGATATTCTAGGAAAACGATAATCAAAATAAAGAGTAAATTTGGTACTTAGCAGAGAGTAAACAAACTAGCATGAATACAAGAATAAATAAACAGGTCGGGTACTGCTGGGTTGGCAATATATCCTAGAAAGACAAAAATGACGGTTAGGCTCAACATATACATGTTTGATCCTATTGTCTATACAACACTCTGACTTCAAAACTAACTGATGATTCATAGGCATATTACTCATGGTCCTTACTGCATGTTTCCTCACATTAAGCATCTTGGAACCTATGCTCACACCTTACTTCTGATATAGTCTCCAATCTAGGGAATTTAAGCCAAATACATATGAAAATCCAAAAAATGCTTGATGAGCATCAAAAAGTTAGTACGTGTTATTTCATGCAATAATATAATGAACCATGTCTGCTGGGAATATAATCGAGCAACGCATGTTGAAAAGGCATGAATTTAAATTAAAATGTGCCTCTTTTTGTACATGGATCCTTACAAGAAGATTGTCCCTAATACACTAGTATGCATGTCTCAAACTTAGTAAATGTGCCAAAGGCAACATATAAAATGTCTATCTAGGCACAAACCAATGAACAAAAGCCAGACATATGAAAATCTTAACTACACCCTACCTTATTCTAAACAAGCTCTGAAACAAGGTGACCTAATCACATACATCTTTGTTTGTGCAAAAAGGTGTGGCTAAAGGTAGTGCATGATTTTGATGCGGTCACTGTCCTCGACCCCATCCTTAAGATCCAAGAATATAACACATGTTTCTTAAAAGATGATAATTTTAAGTAAAATATATTTTAATTCATGTTCTTATTTATGGTCAAAATTATGGATGCTTTAACTTTAAAATATATTTTGAAAACTTGATGATCTGTAATAAATGAAAAATAGTAATACTTTCTCATTTTAAGAAAATAAGTCCTAAGTTATACACTTCAGGTTTCTTGGAACCTGAGCATAATCATACATGTGTAATTATAATGTGATGATTCACATTGGTTATTGAGATATACTCGTGAACAATCCTAAATAAGGAATTACGACCATCATCGGGTCACACATCTAACTGAAAATGACTTGCATCAAAAGTGAACTAGGCTAGATTGAGGCAATAATACAAGTTGATTTAACATAAAATGAATGCTCAAGCGAAATGTGAGGAATTGTAGGTGATATGCTTAATGATTTCTCATGTTATGACTAGTAAAGCTAAGTTTGAGCAATCATAATGAGCACAAAATGGCATGCTAGATGTGAATACTATGATATGTGGTAATATTCACACCATGGAAATTCTATTGATAAATTAATAATAATAATATATTAATATACTATATATAGTAATAAACATATAATATATA